TAATGAATGACTAGCAAAGATATAAGGCTGCTTTGCAATTCCCTCGGATTCTTAAAAACACGTAATGAGAACGAATGTACCTGGAAAATAATAGAAATTAAAGGAAAACAAAATCTACTACAATATCATCAATCAATTTTTATCTATATACAAAACTTGCAGGTCATTTATATAGGTCAGCCAACCTATTTGATTTAGATTTTTAATCCCTTTACCATTTAATTGTGTTGTCAATTAATTGTTCAAAACATTGATAAGGCAATAATAATAATAATGTAAAAAAAGTAGCAAACAGCGTTTCTTTTGTTCTCGGAATTACTTGTTCTGATTCCATCCAGGAAGCGTTCATACAAGCTTTGCCAAGATCTATTGATTTTCCTTGCGCGAGAGAAAGTTCTAATGTGTTGTATAGAATAAAATTGGTGAAATGAATACGTATTGTCGTTGCTACGTGCATCCGATACCAAATTAATAAAATTAATAGTGTTTGAAAGTTTCTAATTTTGTATTAATATATATTATATGACGATAATAAAAAAAGTAATTGGTAATGGTTACATTTTAAGAAGTAAATTCATTTTTGCAATTTTGATAACACAAACGTTTCCGTATCTCGTCAATAGCATTATTATTGAAACGAGAATTTTTTAATTAATATTAATAAAATCAAGGGGTAAAACCAAAAATCCGTTGAAACGAGGGTTCGACTGTAAAAGTTTAAATTCATATTTAACTTTTCTGTATGATTTATATGGTGGACTTTTTCCATCTATCCAACTTGCAAAAAGTAAGGTAAGCTTTTGATTAATTGTTGTTGATTCAAGCTTTGGAATAAGTTTTGTGTTTCTTGATGGTAATAAGTTTAATGCTTGTTGTCTATCAGGAACTAAATAATATTGTAATATGTTCTTCCAGAGAAACTCTGTAAAAAGTTTCTGATAGGGTAGAATTTTATCAAAAAAATCATCTTTAGAAATATCCTGAAATCTTATTAGAGAAATAAATTCCTTTATTGTGTTGCCTAAATCAACAAAATTTTGTGATGACCAATTGTTAAGATCATTATTATTGATTTCTGGATGTCTTTATAATCCCCATTTAAGAACATTTTCCCAAATAATTATCTCATTAACAGAAAAATCATTTCTTGAGAATTTCCAATAATTCAAATTCACTTGACTGAAATGGGGAGTGCTGCAACAAAACCAGACAAAGTGAACATTAAGTCAAATTTTCAGAAATCAGGATTCTAGTAAATCAACATCACAATTGTACTATATATATTTATTATTATTATTATCAATATTGCAAATTATGTTTTTTAAAAAATAATATAAAAAATTATGTATATATATTATTAATCAAAAGCGTTTAATATTTGTACTAAATTTGGATTACTTGGTTTCTCTTAATAAGAGATTATGCTGATTATTTGCACTGTTTTTGTCTTCCAAATAACAATTACAAACATAGCAAAATGTATTAATCATCATAGACTGGAAAAGAAAATAAATAGAAAGTCAATTGATAAAGAAACATGTAAAAATAAAAAGATCCAAAATAAAAAATAATACATGATATGTACTCGTGAAGTGTTCATTATATCTAAACCTTGTTGAAGGACACTTATTTCATTGATTGCTGCAGGTAAATTGGTTTTTGCCATTTCATAAAATATATAAAATCCATCATATTTAATATAGAACAAATACCAACGAACTTCATAGCCTAATATATGGACTCCAAGTAATTTTATTCATGATATATCAGATGGTTTCAATTTAGTAATGATATCATCTATTGAATCTTTTAAAAATCTGCCAATTCTTACAAAATCAACTGTAGTCTTAAGTTTGCAATTCACCTTGAGGGGGTTGCTGATTTCTCCAAATAATATTTCTGTTTTAGTAAGTTCATCGGGTCTGGGACACTTTACCGACAACACGCGGGGTTACATTTAATCTCTACATAATCAAACAAACTACAAAATGCTAAAATATCACGTCGCGTGTTGTCGGTAAAGTGGGTGTCGGTAAAGTGTCCGGGTCCGAGTTCATCAACTACTCTCATGTCAGGTTGCAATCCAATGCACCATGTTGTTTTTTAGAAGATTTAGAAGAACCATTTGACCTATTATTAAAAATTAGTGCTGGTATTGGTTTTTATCAATTGAAAAAATATCATGGCAAAACATACCAATATAGATAATGATCATTCACATCATGGAACAATGGCCTGAAAATCAGGCCTAAATCATTATTGGTAAAAGTGTCTTCCACTAAATTCTTTTTTTTATTTGGTAAATTTTCAATTCTAAATAGATAAATATATAAGAAAATAGTCACTATTAGTACACAATATAGCATTAGTAATAGTATCATACCTGTCACTATAAATACAATAAATATGTTTGGAAATTGGTTCATGATATGAATCTAGACTTGTCTTGGCAGCACCTTGTGATATAAATATTTTCTAGTAATTTAAATAGCAAAAATATTGAATTTTACCCTAACACTATTAGATATTGCATTGAACATATAATCTTCTAATATATCAATTTCTATTTCTTTTTTAACCTTGGTCTTCAAGGTATTGATTTTTTCAGTACCAAACACCTAGAGTAATGAACGTGATGGTTGATCCCTTAATACTAAAATTGAAGATAATGCTCTACATTTCCATCAAGTAATAAATAAATAATAATTCAAAAAAAATACCAGCAAATTTTTTTACTATATAAAAAATTGAGCACTTACAATATTTCATCATGATCAACTTTAACTTCAAGTCCTTCTGATTTAGCCTTGTCATATGTATTTATTTGATATTTTCTCAACAGATCAGAAAAATTCATATTATTGATGACACACTACAAAAGAAAATAAATACAGTATATATGAAAAGAACCCTTCTTATTCAATGAAATATTATCAAACAATCATACCTCAGGTCCGCTCTTGTGCACAAAATTCTTTGCAAATTCTTTATCCTCAATCCAAATTTTTTTCAATTCAACTTGTTCTGATAATTCTTCTTCTGTGATCAGTTCCTCTTCTATATAATCAAGATCATCATCATCTGTATCATAATCTTTTGGAGTATTTGTATCATTTGATAATGCTGTTTCTGTTTCTGTTTCAGTTTCTGTTTGTGATCTATAAGCAAATACAATTGATTAACCAACAAGAATTATTAAATAACTAGGGCTTGAACTAACGAAATAACAACAATAACAGTTATAACAATACTTACAATGAGGCTTCTGCCACATTATTTCTTTGTTTTTTTTTTGTATACTGTAAGAATTCTTGTCTGTAACATATTTTTGCTTTCCCCATGTCAACTCTGGTGATGTTTCTTCTTTGATGTTCGGTTGTTCATGATTTTCATAAACTCGTTTTTGCCCAACATTACCAATACAACCAATTTGTACTCCTTCACAACTTAAAAATGTACTGTTAACCTTCAACTTTTCATATTCCATAAGATTGTGACATTTTAACCAAAAATTGTCAATGAATCCCGTTTTCCTAGATTCAGTCTTAGAAAAATTTTTTAAAGGTTATTCAGAAACTGCAACTGCAATTTAGCAGGTCACAAATTAGTAAGTCACAAGCTGGCCACAGCAGAGGTGGAGTCCATAACCATGCGAAGATGTAGTTCCATGGGTAAATTGACTACCACTTGTGTGATTGATTTCAATCATTAACATTAAAGAAACTTCAGAATTATTGAAATTAATGGCATTACAAAAGTGGATTAAAATAATAAATTTTCAAAATAATTAATTATATAGATAATACTTAGCTTTTTTGTTGTTATCTAATCCTTTCCTAATATATGAATTCCTTTGTCTTCACATCCATCACGACGATTATTCAATACATTTGATATCATCATTGACATAACAAACAATTGTATCACCAAAGTAGTAATAACACCAAGGCCATGCATAAATGAAAATTTTAATAATGCATGTCTACCCAGATTTCTGGTATCAAAAAAAAAAAAAAAAAATCTTCCAATTATATGGTTCCTTAAAAAAAAATGAATAAATCTGATGATATTAATAATAGGTGTCAGATTTAATAAAACTTTCATATCACAAACATACAGTTGGTGCTCTTAACACGCCTCAAAACTTCTGTGGGATATTTTTCCACAGGTGAAGGTCCCCAAATGTTGGAAGGCTTTTTTCAAGATGGGCAAAAGTTCCCTTTATCTTCTCCTCAAACCAGGTTTGGTTTCTGCCATTATAGCCTTGAGCAGGCTGCTGGGTTGCAGTTTGTTGGTATATCTCCTACACATTCAAAAAAATAAATTAATTAACCAAGTAAAATTCATCAAAAACAGAGAATTTGGAAGATGATCAAATTTACATGAGCATACCCAACAAAACTGTACTATTTTTGGCCTTCTAAAAGTAATACTAGCTTAGGTGCAGTGAGGAAAGATCAGGGATTCATCTGAGCATATTTGACAATAATGCAATCTTGATAAACTTCAGGGCAACGCCTCCCCTCCCTGTAATTCAATTGCATCATCATATTATCAGGGGAGCAAGTCAATTTAGCCTTATGTACGTGAGGAAAGATGTGAATGATTGTAGTGTTTTAAATAAAGTGGTGCACTTGAACACTTGAGATTTACAATGATCAAATGTTATATATCGAAATGTATTTTCAAATCGTTCAGGTGCTATTTTTTTTCTATATTCATGCTGCTTAATGTTACGAAAAGCAAAACGATACCAATCATTCGTTGTGGTAAGTAACCTTGATTTCAACCACAATCATAGATATCTGGTTGTTAACAAACAGCGCAATTCCTCCTTCATTAGAGTACCATGCCAAATAGTATTTATGTTACTGATGGATGAACGCTTGTCTTCATTTATATATAAAAAAAATTTTTAAATTCGCGTATTCTGGGGAAAAAAAATAGGGGTATAAATAAAATTACATCACGCTTTTTGTCTGATTAATTATAAAAAAAAAATGTCGAAATCGATAAAGAAAAAAAATCAAAAACGAATTCTAATAGGTGCACCCAACAAGTAAGTACCTGTTTGAGGGTTGTTGCTTTTTGTGAGTGCTATTAAACAAAGGATAGACTGCAATTCATATGTCATCATTGCTTTTAATTCATTACTAGTGAGATTTCTTCTTCACGATCATCATCATCTATTGTAAGTAAATTGCATTCTCTTCAAATGAATATCTTATTTTTATTTTAGTGAATTCAATTTTGATAATATTGTAATAGATTGACAACGATAAAATAATAAATATTGAAAGTTCGTTCAAAAGATCATATTATACAGTGGAATGCCATTAAAGCCATTAGAACCACACGAAATACGTGGGATATTAAATGAAATCCACATGAAAGAAAGTACTACTACAGCAACTACACAACAACCAACTGAAAACACAAATAATAATGGCAACGATGGTAATGATAACAGCGATCAAACAACCATTCCAACAACTGCTGCAACAAGTAATATTCTTTCAAGGCAACAACCAAGGTCTGCAGTTCATTCTACAGTTTCTACAATGTTAAGTTCTGTTCCTCCATTGACTGTCGCTAAAAAAGAAGAGGAGGAGGAGGAGGAATCTGTTGCAATGCAGGTGGTAATCGAGAAGTTAGAGAGCATTGATGGCGAAGAAGAGGATGATGATGATGAGGAGGAACAGAGTGAAGAACCTGCTGTTATGCAAGTGGTAGTTGAGAAGCTGGAAAATATTAATAGTGACGAGGAAAGTCTAGTAGAACAGGATGGTCCAGCGTTACATGGGTCTAGGAACTGGACCAGTGAAGAAACAAAAATACTCTTAAAATATATTTTTAACAAGAGGTTAAACTGTGTTGAGCTACAAGACTTAGGCCTGTTATGAAAAAATCAGGCAATTTCAAAGAAGTGGAGCTCAATGAAACATAAAATTAAAAAATTATTTGTTGTTGATTTTTAGAATCACTCTTTTTTTTATTTTTTTATTTTTTTTAATATAATATTTGTTACTTTCATTAAAAAACTTTTTGATAAGCTTTTATTAATTTTTTTGTTTATTATTTTTCTAAATTTCATAAGTAATACAAATTTGAAACTTTGCATCATGCCAATAGTTCATTTGGCAACTTATCAGGAACTGGATTTCCTTGAAGTCTTTTGTTAATCAAAAACATTCCTATACAAAATTCCTTTCTATTTAAATTTCCATCTCTTTTCTTTCCCTATATAAGTTTCAAGTGCTTGAGTATTACTTAATTTGAAAACATAAGGAGCAATTTTCTCACCTTGTTCTTTCTTCAAGGTAACTTCTGATAGTACTATAATTCTTAGGTTCATAGTAGATCTGATGTAAATAAGTTTCATATTAACTATTTTTATATAGGGATAATTCTATATATCACTTAAGATAACAAATGGGACATTATAAAACTTTTAATTATAATCACATTACAAATGACTAAATTTTGATCCCTGAAATCTTTGGTAATACCAATGTTCGCTTTGTCTGGTTTTGTTACAGCATGTCCCAAATACTAAACCAAATATAAAATTTTTACGATCGGAGTTTTCTACTTTTCCCAACTATATTAAGAACCTTCTTTACCCGAAGAAAAAAAATTTAGAGCAAAATGCAGGGTAAAGCAAAAAATAGAGTTAGCAAGAATGCCCTTTAGAAATCAAATATTCCCTGCATGGCTCAAAAAAAAAGACGTAGATATTAGAAATATCATGTGATCTACATGTTTGAACTACAATTACAATGTCTAAATTTTGTAATGATTTGCCTTTAGTTTCAATTTATTGCTATATACATAGAGCTCGGCTAATTTTTTTAATTTAAAAAAACTAGCTAATAATAAGTTTGAGGCTCGAATCATGAACAATAAAATTATCTAAATGATATATTATAGATGATCTACAGAATTTAATCTGCTTTTTTTTTTCTTTAAATTATTATTTTTCCACGAGCATAGAATAACATACATTTGCTTGTATGTGTTCCATATATAACCATCTTTGATGTATTCGGATATGCCGGTTAAAAACTCGGTGGTAAATTATTATTGACGCTTTTTTATTATTTCTTGTTGTTTAAATATGACATAACCGATAACGTAATTATTTTGAAATCGGCGAGATTATTTCGATTATCAAATGTTTATTTATTAGTTATTGTTGTTATTATTATCGTCAAAATAAAGTCTTCTTTTGTAAAAAAAACACACACGCACGCACGCCAGACTCTTTTCTTATTATCAACTTTTTAATTATTTGAAAATTATTTCTAATTAAGTAAAACAAATTTATCCAAAAAATGATAGTAATTATCATATAAAGCATCTAATAATCCCACGCACATGTTTTTTTTTCCAATTCTCTAAAATATTTAATTAATAATTAATTAATTAAAAATGAAAGAAGATATTAAATGGCAAGAATTATCACGGCATCCTATATATAAAGCTAAGGCTATAGGTGGTTATAAGAGTACACATCCAATGGATATATCTTTTGACAATGGTGATATAATTGAGGTTCTTAAACTTGGTAAATAAATAGGAAATTGCATAATTCATTCATATTAATATTCATACATGATGGCGAAATTCATAAAATTCGAAAAAATATACTAGTACTAGTACTAGTTTTTGAACTTGAAATTCAATGATTGTTTCTTTATTTGTGTTCTATATCTCCTAGTCTTTAGTTGCTTTTTTTGAAAGCATCTCATTAAAGATAGTGTGACTGTAAATAGAATAATTATATTTTAAATTCGCATTTTAAAAAAAGGCACACTATTCTTTAAAAAGGAAGTTTCTAGAAAATCCAAAATTTCTCACCATCATGTATGACCTAATTAAATATTTTCTAAAAATAACTAATTGCTTTTCTTTTAGACAATGATGAATGGTGGAGTGGATGCTTGACAAAATCAAAAGATTTTGGTGTATTTCCAAAAAAAAAGGTGAAAATCGTTGAAGAATATCATCATTCACAAGATGATAAAAATAATAGTAAAGTTGAAAAGGTTATTAATAAAGCCATTGGTAAACTGTCATTGTTTGGATCAAATAATGGTGATTCTCCAGAAAGTGAACATCATATTGATAGCAGTAATGGCAAGGAGCAACGAGGGGCTGCTGTAGGTGGAGAAAGAACAGTAGGTGGAAAAGTGGATCCACTTAGGTATTTTTAGAAAATCAAATTTTATAATATTTTAGTTTATATAAATATAATGATATTAACTTGATTAATCATCCATTTATAGTAAATGTTCTTTTATTGTAACTAAGGATTTTAAAGGTCATCACCTTGATTTATCAGGTATTGTCCGATGATAATAGTGATTATAATAATTAAATTAATAGATTTTATGTCCTATTATTATTATTTTCTCAACTAAATAAATAAATAAATATATAATATATATGTATATATATATATATATAGAAATTGATTTTTCAAAGGTGGATAAACATGCACGAGCAGCAAAAAAATCAGATGAATCATCAATTACAAAATTATCAGAATATTTAACATCAACATTGAATGACGACCCACTGTATAAATTACGTGCAATATTTATATGGATTACTGATAATATTGTTTATGATACAAAAGCTTTTTTTTCAGGTATGGCAGATTCATGTGAACACGTTTGAATGAATGAATTAACAACTGTAATTGTAATTGTAATAATAGTGAGCGATTGTAATTTAATTATTATTATTTTATAGGACAAATATCATGTCAAGATGGTCAAGATATTTTGAAAAGTAGAAAAGCAGTTTGTGAAGGATATAGTGAATTATTTAAAGATTTAGCAAATGCTGCTGGATTAGAAGTATCCAAAATAAGTGGAGTTGCTAAAGGTATGAAAAACATTTTTAATATTTTTTTGGGGGAGGGGTTGAAAAAAATAAAAAAATTTTTTATTCAATAATAAATTTCATTCCAACAACAACAATTTCCATAGGTGCTGGATATAATCCAGGATCAGATGTTGGACGAGAGCATGACCATTCATGGAATTGTGTAAACTATAAAGGAGAATTTTTGTTGATTGACAGTACATGGGGAGCCGGTGTTCTGAATGGGCCAGACTTTGAGAAAAAATTTGATGATTTTTTCTTCCTTACATCACCAATAGAATTTATTTATACACATTTTCCAAACGATACAGATCACCAATATTTACAACCTGCAATAACAAAACCTGAATTCATTCATTTACCATTCGTTAAATCAGAATTTTTCAAATATGGATTAAAATTTGAGCAATTTTATGGCGACAAGATTGTAGTTAAAGATGATGTAATGCATTTTGATTTGGAACAAACCAAACAACGTAATAAATCAATCAGTTTTATTGTCAATCTGGAGTGGAAGAAGAAAAAAGAGAAGGGATTGTATCAGAGACTTCATATGATTGGAAAGTATGGAGGTGCATTGCACAGATTTAATTTTGGATGTCCTAGTCATGGCGAAGGCATTTTGTCGGTGTTCTTGGTTCCTGAAGGACAAAATCGGGTAATTATTAATTATTTTAAAAAGAATTTGTATTTTTATCAATTTATAAAAGAACCGTTATTCATTGTTTTTATTTTTGATGGAACAATTAAAGGGAGAAATCACTATGACATTAAATGTTGAAAATCATGGGAAAGGAAAAAATTACTATGAATTTTTGAAAACTTACAAAGCGCCATTCGAAGCAACTATTATTCAGCCTCTTAGCAAAGAACTTTGTTATGACAAGAAAACAAGATTTGAAATGATAGCTTTTGATAAAAATGATTGCGATGGTGGTTCCATTCCAAATTTATATGTTTGTAGTGATGAGTTCAAGACACAAGTAAAACTGGAAAGATCATCGCCACCAAATAGAGTTGAGAAAGGAGCAGTTTATTATTCAGCAGACGTCACGTTAAATCATAAGGGAACTTGGAGCATTGTATTCGAACCTGAAAAGAACAATTTTGGATTTTTTGCTGAATATGAAGTTAAATAAGATTAAGAAATCTTTTGTTTATTAAATATATTATATGTATAGTTTAGTATATATAACTTTATCTGAAATAAAATTATTTATTTATTTGCGTGGAATAAAACGTTAAATTGCTTGTATGAATCATCCATGACATAATGAATATGAGTTGATCGACCTACTTGTATACGACGGTCAATTTGAAATTCACGCCAAACTAATATAAGAGCATCGGATTATTTTATAATCTATCTCCAAATTTGGAAGCGGCGACCACATAAAACTTTACTACACAATTCAAATCAAATGACAGTTTTTCATTTAAGCGGCCATTAATTCTAATCTTTGAATTGTGATAGTAATCAAATATTTATCTAATCGATCAATATTATTTATTTGTGTTCAGCCAAGAAAAACATTGAGATGTCAATTATCCATTCGTGTTAATTCAACCTCGCACAAATTAAATAAGTGTTTCATTTCATATGTTTCATTCATCACATGCACTCATTCAATAGATGATTATAAAAATCCCAATTTTTTCTTTTTTCTTCAAAACATATTTCTTTCAATAATAAAAATTTATCATCCAAAAAAAAAGAAAAAATTACATTCAAATTAACCAAAATACTACAAATATTACTTAAATCAAACTTCAACATGCAAAAAAATATCCAATTACTCGTATTAGTATTGTTTATGTTCATCGCCGTCTCAATGGCTGAAGAAGGTGAAGGTTTAGTTAAACGCGATTATGGAATGTCAACATCGGACTCATCAAATCTTCAAATTAGCGGCATTTTGTTTACACTTGGTGCTGCTGCCGCCACCGGTGCTTCTTTATTCTTATAAATACGAAATTGATTTTTTTATTTATGAGTAATAATTCATCAAAATTGTTCTAGATAAATTTTGTAATAGCTAAAATAACAATTGGACATGTAGAAGTTTTTATTTAAATGTAATTGATTATAGTTAAAAATTTCATTCTTTTTAAAATGTAATTAAATAAATAGCATTATTATCAATCGAAATCAAACATCGATTTTTGTCATTAAAAATCTATATTTTATGTGTAAGCGTGTGCACCTTTGTATATTAATTAATTGATTTCGTATACATTTTAATAACAATCAAAAGATAAAAATACCTGGCCAAATTT